GTGGAAAGTATTCTCAGGTTTCTGCAGTACTGTGTACAAAGTCAATGCCACAGAGCTCTATGCAGAGACTACTCAACCACAGGGCTAAACCAATTAAATTTCAAATTATAAATAAAAAAACATATTTGTAAGAGTCATAATCAAGTTTCAATGTATAGATCTGAAAGACATCTAAATTTTTCTGTCAGAATAAGACCATGAACAAAAATTTTCAGCACTTATTTAACACTTTTATTTAAAAATGAGATTAATACATATTGGTTTTACCTAGTGGAAGTTAATATTTCTTACATTGGTAAAGTTATTCATCCTGTTAAAACTGACTAAACAGGTGAATATTCATTATTCATGGAAAGTTTTAGTCTGAATTTATTATGGTAATTAATATTGCCATTAATATTACAATATATTTCCTAAGTTTTTTTAATGAAAGAAGCTTTAATTGGTAATATCAAGAAGACATAGATTAACTAGAGATAGATCATCAGAAAATAGCCATGTTTAAAAGATAAAGTATAAAAAAGTAAACAAATATCGGCGAGACATAGCAAATTGAAAGAGATTGAATAATTATTTTAACTGAGTTAAATATGTTTTAAAATACATAATGTATTGTTTAACATATTTGTAACTTGGCCAAAATATGTTTCTCTTTGGTGTGTTTGTGTATATGTAGTACGAATTTAGAAAATACATTCCAGTATCTTGGACAAAATTTCAAAAAGGAAAATTTAAAGATGCTTTTAATAAACAATTTCAGAATCAATGTTTTGCAAGGCACCAAAAAAAGAATGAAAAGTAGTTTAGAAAACTGTGTGCAGAAGAGGTCAAATAAGTAGGATCGATCCTGCATTCTGACTGCTTTGTGAAAATGGTTAAAATCAGAGAAGGATGAAATTATATTAATCTAAATTGACTTACTTTAGTTTTCATATCACTATGAAATTTATATTCAGTAAAGCCTTTTTTTTTTTAAAGTATTTTTCCCAGCTCTGTTGGAATTCAGAAGGTATGTAATGATGAGAAATCACAGTGTTTACAACATTCATTCTCCTACGACTAACAGATGACCCAAACTGGCCAATTGTAGTTTTCCTTTTTCTATTTCTCACATATTTACTGAGTGTCATTGAAAATCTTATGATTTTCTTGCTCTCTCTGCTGGATTCCCACTTCAAAACACCCATTTATTTCTTCCTCTGAAACTCTTCATTTGTATAAATGTCATTCACATCCGTCTGTTTACCCCTGTGACTATGAATAAACTATTTCCTATGAGGCTTGTAAGACACAATTATTTTTTGGCATACTGCTTGGCGCATAAAATTTTTCCTGTTGGCTGCCATGTCCTATGACTGCTGTGGGGCCATCTGCAAACCCCTTTACTATATGAAAACCACAACAACAGCGGTTGTACCCATTTTGTTGTTGCCTGGTTCATTGCTGGATTGTTAGCAATCTCACCTAGACTTTTTGTTGGCTTGGGGTCCATATTATGTGACGTTAATGTTATTGGCCACTTTGCATGTTACTATTGTCCTATCCGGAAACTTTCCTGCACAGACACTCAGGCCATAGAAAGGATAGACTTCATTTCAGCCACTGGCTCTCTTAATACGCTCCCATGCAAACATCAAAAGAACAGATCTAAAGATTCCTTCTGCCCAGCAGAGGAGGAAGGCCTTTTATGAGTGATCCTCCCACGTGATCGTGGTCTCCATTCCTGGTGGCAGCTGAATTTTTATGTATGTGACACCCTCTGCAGAGGAAAGGGTAACTTTACACAAGGCTCGACACTTCAATTGTGTCAGTCTTAAATCCTGACCATCAGAAATAAAGAAGTAAAAAAAGGCCCTAAATAATATAAATAAAAAATGCATCATGATTGCAAGATCTATAATTGACCAATAAGTAAAGATACAAAATGCATAATATATTATATCTAGCATTGAATATGAAACATATATTAATTACCGCTTAGACTTATGGGAATTTATCCCAGAAGGGGGGCAAATATATATACTCAAATATATGAAATCACAATAAATAAAATAATATGTATATGCTCAAACAAAACTCACTTTGCAAATGTTAGAGATTATCTATGAATCTCAAAATTGCAACAGTTTAGATGTCCTTGACAGTGTAAATAGCTGAGCAACTTATGATACATCCATACGTCAGAATGCTACTCAATAATCACAAAGAAACAAACAACAGCCATTTGGTTGCCTCTCCAGGGAATGGTGTTAAGTGGAAAAAGCACTGAAGAAAACACTGGCCACCACACATGTGGGTGCCTCAAATGCTAGGCTTGTTTCTGGGTGTATATGACCTGTTGATGACAAAATGGCATCCGATTTTTCTGTCACTTCTAGGATATGAGCTTTAGATTCTATCTGAACCTTTCAGACAGAATCTCCATTTTCTCAATTAGTTCCATAACTAGACTCTTAATTAGTTTTGTTCCTTGCTTATAGTCCTTATGAAAATCATCAAATATTATCTCTTCCACAAGAGGATATATTAATGAACATTGAAGTATTTTTCTTGTAAGACAATTAATAAATTTATAAGTCTTTAAAATATAATTAACCCTCTCCTAGAAGAAAATCTTATTTTATTATGTATATTAATACAATACCAGTATTTGTCTCCACTGAAAAATTTTCTATATCCTACTTTATCAATCTCCAAGTGTTGACTTTAGTCAATAATTTTAACATTAACAGTATAGTTTTCATTGTATAAAGTAAAAGGCATTTGGGATTTCCCAGTTATCAGCGTTTTACATAATATTGTATGCAGGAAGAAATAATTTCCATGGTTTTGAGTGAGGATGTGTGGACACGATGGTGGAGTTTTGGGGGGTCTAAGATGCTTTTCATGATCTTACGTGGCTTCCATATTAGGATATCTAAAGTATTTTTAAAAAGTATTTCAAATTTAGTTGTAATTTATTTTTTAGTACAAAATAAAAATTTCATGTGCGAGGAGCATAAGAAATAGTACAATTGCCCTTAAAAACATGTATGGAGTGCTTACGAGTGACACGAGATAATTAGAAGTCATAGACAATGCTGTCATTAGAAAGAGAAAACAGAAAAAGAAAGAAACACATCACTATACTGATTCTCCATTTCAAATGGAGGAGAAAATTCCAGTCCCTGCTCCCCCCCATCTCCACCGCCCCCCACCACCATTTGGACCACTCTCTCCTCAGATACATTGTAAAAATCTTACAATGTAAAATGTGTTGCCATTTGTGTCAGTCACTGGTGAGTCAATTCTAACACTGAGCAGCCCTGTGGGCAGAAAAAAAACAAAACACTTTAGAGAATTTTCAGGACTGCGACCTTCATGCTTAGGCAGATCACCAGGCCTAGGTCTTTCTATGGAGGTGCCTCTGGAGGGTTTCAAACAGCCAACCTTTAAGTTAGTAGGCAACCAGTTCACCTTTTGTGCAGTGCAAATGGCCCTCAATGTTTTCATGCAACCTTCTACTACCCATGTGGGAATTAGGCTCTATTTCAACATTCACTTTTCAGATTTCCCAGTAGATCCCATAACGAACTGATAACTGATTTTTTGTTTTGTTTCTGCTTTCAAAGCTCATGATGAAGATAATCAAATGTTACTTACTTCACATGAATCCCCAAGGGACATACTGGAGTAATATCCACCTTTATATTAATAGCAAAGCTGTATCTTCTCATGTCTCTGAGAGAATCAGAAAATCTTGTGAAAAAATTATATATTCCATACACATTATTTGTTAATGCACTCTTAGAAGAAACCCATTATTTTGTGTCTTCATTTGAAAGGAAATGATAAAAGTATGTCTGCAAATGTCACTTAATATACTGCTGAGACAAGGTTACAGTTGCTATCAGACATTCATGGATAATGTGAACAAGGTCTCAAACGAGACTGAGAAGGAGAGAAGAAGAGTGGATCTGACAAATATAATCAGATATATCTACGAATATTTTCTTGGAAAAGTCATTTATATTACATCTTAGGACAACTATACAAAAGGAAACATTTACAATATATCAATAAATAAAACTCTTGTGGATTTCATGGTAAGTATTTTCATTATTCTGCTGTGTTGTATACAATGTAATTGCCACAGAACTCAGGATATGTTGAGTACTCAATCATAGAATTAAGTCAGTTAAACAGGAGTACAAGAAAAGAAAATATTTGTAGGATTTAAATAAAATATCAAGATATATATCTAATAGACATCTATGTTTGTGTATTATATGACAATGAACAAAATTTGTAAATATTTTTTATTAAATACCTGATTGGTATATATTTCTCTTTATTTGTGTTTACTGAATGGAAATTAGTATTTCTTACATTGGTAAAGTTATTTACATAGTTAAATCTGGCCAAACAGGTAAGTATTTCATAATTCATGGAAGTTTTTATCTTAAATGATTACAGTAATTAATACTGCAATTAACATTATAACACATTTCCTCAGTGTTTGTAAGGAAAGAAATATTCATCGTATTATCAAGAAGAGATAGACATGGCATATTGGAAGTGACCGAGCGAAAGATTATTTTAACTGAGCTAAATATATTTTATTCTAGTGTATTGTTTTGACATATGTATAATTAAGCTAAAATATTTTCTTATTTGTATATGTAAATGGTTTGCTTATAGAAAATACATCTCAGTACCTTGGACAACATTTTGAAAGATGTTGTTAGTAAATAATGGCAATGCCAATACTTTGCAATGTAAAAAAAATCTCAAAGGTAGTTTAGCAAAATGAATGTCCAGAGGAGGAGATACAAATGGGATCGATCTTGGGTTCTGACTGCTTTGTGAAATGTTTAAAATCCTGGGAATAGGAAAGTATATTAACTTGGATCAATCTAACTTGTTCTTCATATCACTTTTAAATATATATTCAGCGATGCTTTTTTAAAATGTAGACTTTTTTTTTTTCTAGCTCTGTTGGAACTCAGAGCATTTTAACAATGAGAAATGACACCGCGGTGACAACATTCATTCTCCTAGGACTGACAGATGACCCAAACTGGCAAACTGTAATTTTCCTCTTCCTGCTCCTAACATATTTATTGAGTGTCATTGGAAATCTCACAATTATCTTGCTCAGTCTGCTGGATTCCCACCTTAAAACACCCATGTATTTCTTCCTTCGAAACTTTTCATTTTTAGAAATCTCATTCACATCTGCCTGCATCCCTAAGTATATGTTTAGCCTTGTGACTAGGGATAAAACTATTTCCTATGGAGGTTGTATGATACAAATATTTTTTTCTATCCTGTTTGGTGCATCAGAGTTTTTCCTGTTGGCTGCCATGTCCTATGACCGCTTCGTGGCCATCTGCAAACCTCTTCACTATATGACAATTATGAACGACAGAGTTTGTACCCACCTTGTTGTTACCTGTTGGTTGGCTGGCTTGTTAACAATCTCTCCTGGAGTCATCATGGGGTTGGGGTTGGAATTCTGTGATGCTAATGAAATTGATCACTTTGTATGTGACTGTTCTGCTATCCTGAAACTTTCCTGCACAGACACTCAGGCCATAGCATTGATAGGTGTTATCTCAGCCACTGTCACATTGTTTGCTACATTGGCTCTAGTGATACTCTCCTATGCATTCATCCTCAGAACAATTCTGAAGATCCCTTCTGCCCAGCAGAGGAAGAAGGCTTTTTCTACCTGCTCCTCTCACATGGTTGTGATCGCTATCTCGTATGGAAGCTGCATTTTTATATTTATTAAACCTCCCGCAGAGCAAAGTGTAGCTATAAACAAAGGGGTTGCTGTGCTCAACACCTCAGTTGCACCATTCTTAAACCCTTTCATATATACCCTCAGAAATAAACAAGTAAAAAATGCCCTAGATATTATAATTAAAAAATGCATCCTTGTTACATTTAAAAAATAGCTTATTTTCCTAAAAGAAAATCTGTAGATCTTTTGGAACTATGTGCGGTATGCAATTTTATATCCATTTACTTAATTTTTATGTTATAATTGTTCATAAAGTCATCTAGAAATAGTCACTGTGTAATCAACCTGGAGTTGTCTCCTTAAATTGCATAAACTATATAATGTTATCTTACGTGTTACTGAAATTGCTTCACTCAACTCAATTTTCTTGTTTATCTTCAAAATATTTTATTATAAATCAGTGTTTACCATCGAAAAAATCCAAGTTTTTATAGTATAGCTGTGTTGAGAAGCAGAGCAATTATGAGGTCTGCAATATTATTTGGGTTTGATGTGTTTTAGGGAATTTTTCTTATACCATATAATGTTAATATTTTATTTAAACATGTATTGGAAAATAGTGAATCTATATAGAATATTTGGATTTGGATTTAATAAAGATATTTTAAAATATATGTTTTGGTGTTATGTTAAAGAGATCTTTCATTTAGAAAAAGCATTAAGTAGATTATATCTACCTTAAAATGAGGCTTAAGTAGTTTATTAAATAACTCTCGTCTTAGACACACAGACACATGCTATATATTTACAATCTTCTTCATCAAGCACATCAATGGAATATAGACGAAGAGCAGAGCCTCCAAAGTCATGTGCTGCATGTATGGTCACGTGCACAGCTAGCACCAACTCAATGAGGAAGGCTCAATATCAAGTATCCTGAGTGACGTAGGTTTGCAATAGATGTCCTTTATCAAGTTGATGGTATCCTCCCATTCCTACTCTTCTCAGACATATTTAGGATCAACTGATGCTGAAATTATATAAATGTTCATTCTAGAATACTCGATATAACTAAACAGGTGTCCCTGCTTTTAGAACGTTCCCTTTACCCCACTTCACTTGTACTAAGACCCACGTTAATGCCTGCTGAACGGAAGGCAATTTGGAGAGGATTCTCACTTTTGCACAAGAAGGGAACCAACAATATTAGCAAGGTCTCCCAGCACGGTGCATCCAGGCGTGAGTCTCCAGGGGCATCTTCAAGTTCTTCCCAGGGAACTAGACTCAGTTTCTCAGCATCGAGACCCTACAGCTTTGAATTGTGTTTTGGAACACTATATGCTAGTGCTATTTGACGTTTTATGTATTACTGGGTGGGATTAGATAGATCAAATTGGGAGCTTGGACTGCAACCATTTTTTTTTCCCATTACAAAATAATGACATTTGATCTTTGCTTTAGACTATTTGGGCTGACAAAAGGTTTCCTAGGTGTGCTTTACTTTTGGCTAGTGGATAAAACCTTCATAATTTTCTTATTTCTTCATTGGATGTAATAAAAATACATTTATTAACTTTGAAATGTTGAACCCAAGTTACATGTGGGACATTGTTAAAATCCTTGTAATATTTGCCTCCCTGCTTTTGTTCACCCACTCCTCATTTCTCAACTCTCTCATTATCTGGTCTTTTACATGAATGACAATTTAAAAAATAAAAATTCAGGTAGCAATTCTGATCTTCCAGGCACAAGAGGGATATGAATACAGCCTTAGGGCAAGGCTAGGTCAAGAGTGCCTTCCATGCACTACCAGGCCTCCCACAACCACCTCACCACCAATTTGGATCACTTGTTGTT